GTGGAGGAGGACGTTTATTGTAGATAAAAGGGAGGGCATAGTCAGAGGCAGGGGCATCTGGGAGAGCCCAGAGTGGACATGACCCTGAGCCATGTGAGGAGAGTGGGGAGGGGAGAGCCAGGAAAGTAAAAGGTAGATGTAAGGGCCAAGTAACCAAAATGGATGGATTATATAGAGAAGCACCTGGGGGAAGGAAGCCCAGCCCACTCCCTGGGCTGGAGAAGTTTAGGGTAGGGGGCGGGTATACCAGCCATCCTCTGAAACAGGTAGGGATCCAGGGATGATGGGAGAACCTGGTGGCCAGGTCTGTTTGCTTTGTTAAATAGGCGCCTCAGATAACCATTTGTCCCAGGCTTGAGACCTAATAATCAGTAGTCTTACTTCTGTGTGCCAGCTATAGTGATATTATTCTTTCTGATTTTAGATTACTTATTTCTTAAATTTTATTTATGTGTATGGACGTTTTGTCTCCATGGATGTCTATGTACCACGTGCATGCCTGGTATCTGCAGAAGCCAGAAGAGGGCTGGCAGTTCCCTTGAAACTGGAGTTACAGACCATGGTGAGTGGCTGGGAATTGAACCTGGGATCCTCTGGAAAATCATCCAGTGCTCTTAACCACTGAGCCTTGAAAGATACTACTGATATGAAATAAATAATCCAGGGGCTGGAGAAATGGCTCAGTGGTTAAGAATGTTCCCCATTGATTTCTCTCAGAACTCCTGTTATGCCCAGATTGTGACCCCAAAGATTCCACCACAGACCTTAGGTACAGAATGCAATAGCATGGTTTATTTCTGTTTGTTTACAAGCCACGGGCAAGGAAGCTCAATCCAAAGCACTCACTCGTAGTAACCGTGAGGCCAGGAGGAACTTGCTTTTTCTTTGTGTGGCTAGCTTTTTAAAGGCAAAATCCACAAGCTCTTCAGGGGGGTTGGGGGATTTTTGCACGGGTGCAACTCGGATTGGTTTATCTTTATCTCTGTTCTCTTTTAATTGGGTGAGGGTATGTAACCTTTGAATTTACTGGTTGGTGGTTACAATTTATTACTTTGGGGGCAGTCCAGCACAAGTCCCAGGCTTTGTCCTTGAGCCACCATGGGGGCTGGCTGGCCAAGCACGTACTGCACATAACTCTAAGTTGGTGAGGGGCCCCAGACAGTAAACATCTGACTGAACTTTGAGCAGTCAGAGTGCGTGCAGAAAGGGAGCTACTGCAAGGACTATGTCTTTTGTTCATGGCCCTCCCAGAAACTGCTTGCTCAAGTCTCAGGAAACTGAAATTGAGGCCTGATCTCTGAGAGAAGACTGAGCAGCCTGTTATGGCATCTGCTTGGTCCTTTCACTCCGTCATAGAGAGGATGTCTGTCCTAGGTCACTGCTTCTGGGTCTGATGAGAATATAAACGTAGAGACTTGTGGCAGATCAAAGTGGCTCCCTTCATCGCCCACAGAGGCAGGGACAGGAAGAGGCTGAGGACAAGACACACCCTTCAAGGGTCTGTCTCTGATTTCTGGTGGGGGAGCTCCACCTTCCACAATTTTCCATCAAATTCCCATAGTTCATTCAGTTGTGAACTGACCTGGGTATAGGGCCACTGATCCAGGTAGCACCCTTATGATCTCACTCCTTAGCAGCACCAGCAGGTGGGAGACAAGCTTTCAGTACACAAGCCTTTGGAGGACATTCTGGATCCAACTGTAATACACATTTTCTTAAGCAGACCAGTCAGAATCCTAGAAGTTTAGTGTTTCTGTGATTTCTATAAGGGAAACAAATTAGAAAGTTGGTAGAATTAGCACTGAAAACTGACCAAAATTTGATTTTCTAGTGATTTAGACTATATTCCTTGTGTTTCATTCCTAGGGTGGGTAACAAGCTAAGCCTTTGGTATAATACCTCTCTAACAGTGAGTCATCTTCAGGGATGGGATAGCCCATCTGTCAGTTACCTTTTGGTCTCTATTATAGCTGGCTTATCTTACTAAATGTTCACTTTTTGTCTTCTTCCTTCCACAGGGAAGGAGGTTGCATCTAGTGACTGTCTTGTAGGAACGTGCATCCGACTCACTGATGTGGGCTTCAGCCACTGATCGTGGCTAGTGCTTGCTTTACAAGTCTAAAATGATGCATCTGTGATTTTTAAATAAACTGTTACAGTTTGGATAGGAACCCAGGCTAATGTGTTTGAACACTTGGTCGCCAGCTACTGGAGCTGTTTGGGAGACTGTGGAATCTTTGGAAGGCAGGGCTATTAACTGGAGGAAGTGAGTGTGCTAAAGTGGCTGAGCCTTTAGCACAGTCCCCCCAGGCCTGCTTCTGCCTCAGTCTCTGTCTACTTCCTGACTGCTCACAACACCACTGACAGGAATTGCTTCTGCTTTAGTACCTTCCCCTGGAGGATGCAGGGGATCATCAGGGCCACCATATACCCATCCTTCCCCTGGAGGATGCAGGGGATCATCAGGAACACCATAAACCCATCCTTCCCTTGGAGGATGCAGGGGATCATCAGGACCACCATAAACTCATCCTCCATCACCGTGCTTCTTTTGGGTACTTTTATCACAGGGATTAGGAAAGTGGCTAATTCCTGAATTCACAAATTCAAGACCAGCCTGAGTTATATGGGAAGATCATGTATCCATAGGAAAAAAATACCATATTTTGAGATAATAAAGTACTTAGCAAAAACCTTTTATCTGCTCCTTTCAAATAAGTCGAAGGTCAGCAGTCGTGGGTTCTGCTCCTATGTGGTGAGGTATAAGTGCATTGTCAGTACTCAGACAAACAATGAGAGCCATACCCAAACCACAGGCAGTCCTGGGAGGCAGACAAGCTATTCCAACCAGTAAGTCATGAAGGCTAATGTCAAAACCCTGAAGCTCTGTGCTAGGTATAGGCAGCTGGGCTGGGGAATGAGGAAACCTAAATAAGGAAAAATAGGCCACGCCTGCTTTCCCCAAACAAGGAGCTTTCCCCTTGAAAAACAGGGTTCTGAGTACTTGGCAGGTGTAACTATTGTCACAACCACCGCTGGAGAAAGAGGTCGATTTGCCGTGTCCTAATGGCAGAGGATGGTATTGGGACAGTGACTATTACTAAGGCCAAGCCACTCAAAAGGGGCCCAGTGAATTGCGGACAAGTTTTTAGAACAAGGAAAAAGGTTTATTCGGTATGCTAGCAAGACTGAAGACACTGTAGACAGTCATCCTGAAAGCCTTTTTGTTGCACGCATCCTAAATGGTCTTACGATAAAAACCCGGAGCCAGACATCAGGGTGAAAGCAGAAAGATCAGAGACACTGAGCAAGCCACAGCTACCACCTCTTCCCTCACCAACTCCTCAGCCTGACAGAGCCTCCGCAAAAGATCGAATTCCTGTCTCCTCTGCCTTCTATTCCTTTCTCTGCCCACCTGTATCACTTCCTGTCTCAACCTTCCTAGTGCTGGGATTAAAGGTGTGTGATCCCAAGTGCTGGGATTAAAGGTGTGTGATCCCAAGTGCTGGAGTTAAAGGTGTGTGTCCCGACTGCCTGGCTGTTTCTCTTTTAAACTGAATCAATCTCGTGTAGCCCAGTGTGGCCTTGAATTCATAGAAATCCAGACGGATCTCTGCCTCCCGAGTGCTAGGGTTAAAGGTGTGTGACACCACTGCCTGACCTCTATGGCTAACTCTGTGGCTGGCTCTGTCCTCTGATCTTCAGTCAAGCTTTATTTGATACACAATATGTCACCACACCTTTTACTTTTTATTTCAATAGAAATGGGGACTTTAAGACTAGTGTAGGGCACAGGCTGTGAAAAGATCCCTGCAGATGCCCAATGCCTACTATTAGCTAGCGGGAATGAAACTGTAGACATGTTAGCCTGCCCTGCCCTTTAAAGAACCCCCGCCTCAGCCAGCGCCATCTTCTGGTCTCCAGGGGCACTGCACTCATATACCAGAAGCCCGGTGTGGTGGCACAAGACAGTTAGCACAACACTGAGTGTGGAGTCAGGAGGATCAAGGTCATAGATCTCAGCTATAGGAGACTCTAGGAAGGAAGGAGGAAGGGAAGAAACCCCAGGAATTGCATTCAGTTTTGTTTGGCTTAAACCACCTGTCCAAACAAAAGGCAAAAGGTGCAATGCTGTGGAATATTATTTTAAGGTGTGTTACTTTTTTTTTTCCCTGCTGCCTTTGTTAACAATGCAAAGACATGTTATGTTTGTTTGATCAAATAAAATTAACCTGAGGTCAAGAGACTGAGTCAGCAACTAGCTGACAGGAAGTGGTAGGGAGGAACCGCCTGTAGCCAGGGTCCTTAAAGGGGTGGGGCGGAGCAGAAAGACACGTAGCATTTTGGGAGCCGGGAGCAAGGAGAGGTTAGGTTTTTGCTATTCAGCCTCTCTGAGCAAGCAGCATTTCACCTCAACCTTTGAATCCTGTGTTCTATAGAAGGGTAGAGATCTAGATAAGGTTTCCCTTAGTGGTCCTGAGAGAGCCGGTTCCTGAGGGAACAGAATTCCCGGGCTGCGGCCCTTGCGGCCCAACCGCTGCCGGTAGCTGCAGTTGCAGTTGCTAATTAGGACAGCAGTTGCTTAAGGGGCAGCCACAGTGTTGAATAAAAACAACAGCGCGGGAAATAAGTCATTGCCAAGTCCTCTAAAGGAACTGGCTGTGGAGAAAGCCTTCTACACTAAAGTGGAACACTAGATGGAGTGGCGAGCTGTGGGTGCAGGACGGCCACGTTGAGTTCACCAGCCGGGGCGTGAAGTTGCCCCGCTGCTCTCCCCGAGGCAGTGGTGGGCAGTGGTGTCCTCACTTCCCCATTACCCACCCCCCCCCCACACACACACACACGTACGCAGGGGAGGAGCTCCGCTGTGAAAGGGGGGGGGGCGGAGGCACGGTGGCGTCCTAGAGTTGCCGGGGTGACGAGGGCCCAGCTGTAGCTGCGAGCTCATCTGGGGGAGGCGGAGGCGGCCCCTGGGGCGGGGCGGGGCGGGGCGGGGCTGGCAGGAAGCGGGGCCTGCGGAGCAGTGGCTAGGGGGCTAGGACGCCCGGAGCTCCCCGGAGGTAAGTGTGGGCACGGGTGCGAGCGTGGGGCGAGCGGCTGTCCCCCGAGACTGGCGGGACTGGCAGAAGTTGCAGGACTGCGGCGCTGAGCGGTGGCGGACGGAGCAGTGTTTGCCCAGGCTAACCCTGCCGAGCTCCTTTGTCCTCCCGCTCCGTAGCGTCTGGGTGGTTTAAACTTTAAAGGGCGGCGCTTGCGCGGTGCGGCCAAGAACTTGGCTTTGCAGGTTGAGTCCTGTTTTGTTGCTCGCTTCTGCCCCAAGTGGTGGGAAGTGGCTGTCCAGGGTGCGGGGCTCAGGCCTGCGGGAGCTGGGTGGACACCGCCGGCCCCGTGCTGCGTGCAGCCAGCAAACCTGCTGCTGTCCGGCCGGAGTAACTTTTCTCCATAGAGTGATAAATGGCTAGCGCTCGCTTCAGAACAGGCTTCCTGTCGCCTATCAAAACCGGCAACTGGTTGAAGTTAGAAACGTCAAGCGCGATTGGTCTTTAAGGTCGGTCAGAGGCGGCCAAGCTGTGAAAGTCCCCATGGTCCTGCAGAGAGTGGCCCTGTTGAACACACAGGGTCTAGTGGTCATCTCCAGTTTAGGAATGAGTGGTGAGGGGTGGGAAATCGGGGTGGGAAAACGCGTGCACCGATCCCCTCCCCTTTTTGTTTGATTCCTTTTCTCTCCTGCCCCTTTCCTTCTAGGAAGGAGGTGACTTTACTTCTTGTAGGCTGTTAAATGGTTGGCAGGGAATATGGGTAGATTCTCGTGATAACTAGTTTGGAAAGTGCCCTCCGGTGGAGTACCTGGTGACAGGTTGTACAGACTTTGGAATCCACCAGCGGACCTACCTGGCTTTCACTTCCCTCGGAGTTGACCTTAAGCTGGTCTGGCCCATGTTCTGTATTCTTGGGCTTTGGAAGTAGTAAGATAAAGTATCTACAGTGCCAGGCAATCAACGAACAGTGGCTGGTAGCATTTTCCGGAAATTACCATAAAGAGATGAAAAAAAAAAAGTAGTGAGTGATTTTGCACAAATTTAACTAAAGGAACTAGAAGGAGCTGTTTGCATTAGGGTGCGACAGAAAAGAGAAGCGAGAGGACGCCAAGAATCAGGTTTAACGATATGCACATTTTTAAATTTTTTCATTTCTTCCTCTCTCATTCAACACATCCCAACCGCAGCTTCCCCTCCCTCTACTCATCCCAGCCCTTCCCTCCCCACATCCTCGGTCCCCCAGATCCACTGCCTTCCCCCAGAAAAGAGCAGGCCTCCCAGGGGCATCAACCAAACACGCACAAGATACAATACGACAGAGCACAAGCCCGCACATCAAGGCTGGGTGAGGCAAGGGTGACCACAAATCCCCAAATCTCATGTAGAGTGTCTTAATCCAGCTCCTAAAGAGGCTGAGGTGGGAGAATCGCAGGTTTAAGGCCAGCCAGGGTAACGTAAACTACACCTCGGAAAAAGAAGATAATGCTGGATCTGGTGATACTTTGCTGTCACCACTCAGAGGGCTGAGGCAGGAGGAATGTGCAGCTGAGGCCAGCCTGGGATCACTGCTTTAAAACTCTTGGCTAAGATGAGACTTCCTTGAGAAGCCCGCTCCTTGTGCTGGAGACGTTTATGTCAAGTTGACACAAACTAAAGTCATTTTGAGAGGAGGGAAGCTCAGTGGCTCTAGAACTGTGGTTCTCAACCTGTGGGTCACGACCCACTTGGGGTCAGGTATCAGATATTTACATTGTGTTTCATACCAGTAGCAAAATTACAGTTACAGAGTAGCAACAAAAATAATTTTTTTGGGGGGGTGGGGGTGGGGGTCACTACAACATGAGGAACTGTATTAAAGGGTCACACGGCATTAGGAAGGGTGAGAACCCCTGCATTGTAGATCAGGCTGTAGACAGCCGGTGGGGCATTTTCTTAATTAGTTATCAGTGTGGGAGGGCACAGTCCACTGCGGGTGGTGGCACCCCTGGGCTGATAGTCCTGAGTTCTATAAGGAAGCAGTCTGGGCAAGCCACCAGGAGCAAGCCAGTAAGCAGCGCTCCTCCATGGCCTGTGCATCAGCTCCTGCCTCCAGATTCCTGTCCTGTTTGAGTTCCTGCGCTGATTTCCTTCGATGATGAACAGTTCTGAGGAAGTGTGAGCCAAATAAACCCTTTCGTCTCCAGCTTGCTGTCTGGTCCTGGTGTTTCATCGCAGCAACAGAGGCAGGTGTCTCTGGTGTCTGTTGTAATCTCCTAAGCATTCCTCCTTTCTCTCCTAATGCCTATGCTTAAGTCCATATCTAAACTGTCTGAGGCTGACAGGATGGCTTAGCAGATAAAGGCATTTGCCGCCAGGCCTGGGGACCTGGGACCATATTATGGAAGGAAGAAGCCTGTCCTGCAGGTTGTCACCTGACCTTTACAATGCCGTGGCATGTATTCACCAGCCTTCATGCAAATGTGTTAAATAAATACGTGTTAAAAACTTTATTAATAGATTCCACCTTTACATTAAACAATCTGAATCTGAGCCTTGAAACTGAATGTCTTTTGTTTGTTTGTTTGTTTGTTTTTTGAGACAGGGTTTCTCTGTGTAGTTTTGGTGCCTGTCCTGGATCTCACTCAGTAGACCAGGACTCGAACTCACACAGATCTGCCTGGCTCTGCCTCCCGAGTGCTGGGATTAAAGGCGGCCTGAATGTCATTTTTAATAGATTTTCTTGAGCAACTTAAAATTAAGTCTACCTGAGGGAAATATGTGAGACAACCCAGACTGAAGCTTCTCATTGAATAGGAAGAGCAGAGTTGCTCTCCAGGCCTTTCATCCCCAGGGACTTGTCAGGTTATGACTGGCATCTTGCCACAGCAACCCTCTGGAACACTTTGAACTGCCTTAGGCAATGCATTCGGTGGAGGCGAAGCCAAAGGAGGTAATGACCAGCAGATCAGCCGCCATCTTCTCAAGACCAGCTACCTTCCACCCAGGCTAGAGAACCTCCGGGTGAGGATAGTAGTTGGCTTTCTGGCCTGGTTTTGTCTCATTGGAAGTTTATTCAGTTTCTCTGTAGTATTGTTGGCTGAAAGATGAGGAAAGGCTATGTAAAGGAGGGAGCGCCCCACAGCTCTGTGGTGTGGCAGGAATGAAGCCCCTGTGCTCTCTGGTTCCTGTGACAGCTAGCACAGGCCCAAGGGCAGTTACCTGAAGGAAACCTTGGGAGAGTGGAGACTGAGGTAAAGGACCTTCGCTAGATTGGAGACTGAGGTAAAGGACCTTCGCTAGATTCTTAAACTTCAGTATATAAGTTTCTTTGTTACAAAGGCAGACTGCCAGCCCCATCCCGGATTCTGGTTCTGCAAGTCTCAGTGATGATGGAGAACCAGGAGTCCTCTTCCTAACCCTCACACCTGGAATTTGGAGGCACTTTGAGGAAACCCGCTTAGCACTTACTGGACCAGGAAATGCCCTACTGAACTCTTCATTGAGAAATAGTGTTGCCTGGGCAAACTCCAAGAGAGATAGGCTAAAAGGGGCCCGGGCCACCTCCCCGCTCATGCTCACCGCCAGCGTGATGGTGGTTTTGTTTTAGTGACATGGGGTGGAACAGTCAGATGCCGGGGAGACTCCCTGAGGACAGAGGGGGAAGTAATCCATTCTGCCTTGAGGACCTCTGCCAGAAGATGTCTCCCGTTAGCTCTCCTCTTGTTCAGAACTCTCGCCTCCCCTCCCTTTAACCTGTTAATTAACCAGATGGAAACAGATGATCGGTCCACTTTCAGGACAGAGGCCATTGGCGGCACGTGCCTCTTTACATCTCATTTTGTTGAAAGCTGGGCCTGGAGGCGCAATGCGTTGAGCCCATGAGTGTGAGACCTTCCTGAACAACAAAGTGAGACCTTGTCTCACTCAGAATAATTAAAGGTTGAGCTCCTGTTGCACTTGCCACATCTTCACATGCTCAGCAGCCACCGGTGGCTGGTGACCAACCAACCCATGACATGGCTCAGCACAGACACTTCCGTCACACAGCACCCACCAGAGCAGGGAAGGAGTGTTCCGAGGGTGGTGAAGTGTGATCAGTAGTGAGTACGGGGGTCCCTTAGCCGTGTTTTCAGGGGAGAGATGTCATTCAGAAGATCACCTAAGTGTATTCCATGGACTGGGAGCATTAACCGCAGACTGGATTTAGTTCTCTTCTGTGACTCACCTGCTTCTCTCTTTGCAAAAGCATTTTTGTGTATAACAAAGCAGCTGTGTATTTCCTTCAAACGCTGTAATCACAGAATTGTTTAACTCAAGGCAGATGTGTTTGGGTATTTTCTCCATTTCTGCTTATGAGTTGTTATTTTGCAGGCAAGAAAAGCATTGTGTTGCCGTAGCTGATTTACTGATCAGGTAGCTTCCCTTCATTTCCAGGAGTCTTAGATTGGAGGTCAGAGGGGCGGAGGATGTTTGCTATACTTCAGTTAAAAGTAAAAATAACAAGCCAGGCATGGTGGTGTACGCCTTTAATCCCAGCCCTCAGGCAAAGGCAGGTGATCTCTGTGAGTTAGAGGCCAGCCAGGTTTATATAGAGAGTTCAGGGCCTGCGAGGGCTGCATAATAAAATCTTGTCTCAATAAAATAAAGTTAACAAACATTAACTTTGTTTTCCTAATAGGTGAAGTTAAACATGACAGAAACAGATGGCTTCTACAAAAGGTAAAAGTGTGTTCTTGTCTAATAAAAGCCTTTTCCTTTCCTGGTCCCAACCATCTTCTAGAAAGGAAAGTAAGAATGTAATTGTTATATAAGTTCAGTGTTCTTCAGCATATTGGGAACCGATGTGTAGGTATGGTTAGAACAGTAGTTCTCAGCCTGTGGGTTGTTTCCCTTTGGGGGGTCAAATGACCCTTTCATAGGGGTCGCTTAAGACCATCAGAAAAGCACAGATACTCACATGATGATTTATAACGGTAGCAAAATCACAGTGACAAAGTAGCAACAGACATAATGTTATGGTTGGGGAGGGGGTTCACCACCGCATGAGGAACTGTATGAAAGGGTGGCAGCATCAGGAAGGTTGAGAAGCACTGGGTTAGGGGCTGTATCTTCTTGTCAGAGGACCTGGAGTGATGTTCAAATGATGCCGTCTCTGGTAAGGTGTGGGTCTAGTACTAGAGCTTGGCCCTGGGCCTGGCTGTTGTTGTCCTGTGTCTCTGGGTCCTGGAGAGCAGGAAGAAGCATCAGTGCGGAGGGCCTGGGATGGAGGCTGAAGATGGGACACAGTGTTGCTACCCAACCATTAACTTTCTTCACTGGTACAGTCTCCCAGTGCCCAGCCCTGTAGAAGCAGCAGGCTCCCATCTAGACATTGGTTTGGGCTTAGTGGGCTCGTATTTAACATGATTTAACATGGGTTGTTTGTTTGTTTGTTTGACTCTTCGGCAGTAGGGACGTGTTTGATCCTGCAGAACAGTACAAGATGGACCACAAGAGGAGAGGAGTCGCCCTGATCTTCAATCACGAGAGGTTCTTCTGGCACCTGACACTCCCAGAGAGGCGGGGCACCAGTGCAGACAGGGACAACCTGACTCGAAGGTGGTTTTCTCCGTCGTGACGATACTCCGAAGTGACTGCTAACCATAATTTAGCACCGATGACAGATTAAGAGCCCTCACTTAGACCCAGCATGTGCTTAGCATGCATGAGGCCCCAGGTCTAATCCCGGCACACACACAGGAAACCCCCCACCTACCCCCAAAAATAGACTGAGCCTCCCCTGAGAACTTTCCTGGGCTGTCTTCCTCACCCTGTTCTATTGATTGTGACTAGGTTTTTCCTTGTTCCTAACAGACATGCAGTGCGTAGATGGTCATGGTCGTCATTGAATCGGCTCTTGTCACTGTTAAGCCCTTTCATCAGGAGGATGATCAAGAGGAATTACCATTGTCATGAAAATAGGCATGGAATTCCTCAGGATGTAAGGCTATTGGATGGCTAATTCTGACTTTATTGTGTTTCCAGGTTTTCAGAGCTAGGCTTTGAAGTGAAATGCTTTAATGATCTCAAAGCGCAAGAACTACTGCTCACAATCCATGAGGGTAGGTGGTCTTGTTCCTGAAGATATGTATTTTATGTTAGCCTGGAGGACCCGTACAAGTCATTCACGATGCAGCAAAAAACCGTTAATAATTTCCAGCAAGTCATAGGTGTCAGTCTTGCCTCTGTATTTACACTCCTCATCGGACCTAGAGATCTGGCAAGGTATTATGCCTCCAAAGATTCCATTAGCATGCTTCCAGTTATATATTTATGTATTATTGTTAGTCGAGAGTTGAAGGAAGTGACTTGTTTGATGGTGAACATCTGAAATGCTAATTCTTCAGATGCTGGGTCTTTCTCAGTAGGCTTGCTGATTTAGCCTTGCCCTAGCTGTTCCTTTCCTTGTGTCTTTCTACTGTTGCATCTCTGAGCAGTAGGTATTCTGATTATAATGCAGCTTAGAGTCGGTCCCTATGCCATTCTAAGAGCTTTCAAATCAGTTGCTAATGGACTATTAGTGCTATTTGCATAATCACCTCGCACTTTCTCCCACACTTTCTTGTAATTAAATAATTATGGCTGCTTCCAAGGCTTTCTACTTTGGTCGTAAGCTTTGGAGGACACCGGGTCTTAATGCTCCTGGGAGCTCTAAGAGTTAGTTAGGCATGGCTGTCAGAGGTGCAGCCACAGGGGTAACTGTTGAGTTGTAGTTTCTGGGTCTTTTCAGTCTACGGTAGGAAAGTCTGCTCATTCAAAGAAACTTTTCATGTATTGCCACAGTCAAGTGGGCCTTTAAAAAGAATTTGTAAATTACCACATATTCACTCTCTAAAGCGGGTTTCATAGTGACATTCATACTCCCATTTTTGGAACATGCGTTTTGACCATGTCCACTCTTCACCTTCTGTCCCCTCATCTCCCTCCCTCCAGTCCCCCTCCTCTTCCAAGCAGTCTGCCGTCTGTGTTCATGTCATATGAGTTATGACAGGTGAGAGAACAGTGTGAAGCCGAAGACCGCACTTTCAGGCATCATTTGAGAGACTGTGAATCCTCTCTTTCTGGGTCTGGCCTGCTTTGCGTAGGGTGATGGTCTCCAGTGCCATGCGTTTTCTTGAAGCTCAAATATTTTGTTCCTCTTCATGGCTGAATAAAACTCCATTGTGTGTATCTACCACATTTTCTCTGTTTGTTAGGAGTCGAAGGACAACTAAGCTGATGCCATAGTTTGTCTGTTGTGAGTAGTGCCGCAGCAGTAGTGAGCAGACATCTCTGTCACGTGCTGTCCTGGGTTCCCTTGGGTATGTTCCCAGGAGTGATCCTGCTGGTAGCTGTGTTTTATTTTCTAAGGACACTCCATATTGATTTCCATGGTGGCCGGGCTCACTTACACTCTGACCAGTGTTGTACAAGGGCTCCTTCCTCCCCAGCCTGCTTTCCCCACCTCACAAGCCTGGCTTCCCCACCTCACCAGCCCACTTCTCATCCTCACCAGACGGTTTTGGTTTGGTTTGGTTTTTTAATGGGAGCCATTCGGACAGAGGTAAAATGATCTCAAAGTATTTTTGGTTTGCATTTCTCTGATGGCTGAGGTGGGCGAGCATTCTGTCCTCCAGCTACCGACAACTGGTACTTCATATTTTGAGACGCATTCTTTCGTTTCATTTACCAATTTCTGGTTGGATGATATGATTTTCTAGTAGGTTTTTTCTTCATTGTTTATATAGTCCAGATGCTAACCTAATCCTTTCGGATGTGGAGCCGACAAGGACTCCTCCCGTTCCGTAGGCTAGAACCTCACTCTGGTGTTTCTTTTGCTGTGAAGTCCACCTCAGCGATCTGCTTCTGCCTGTATCTTGAAATGCTTGTAGTAGTTTCAGCTCTTAAAGTTGCTTCTCCTTGTGCGTGTCCAGTTTTCCCAGGACAGTTTGTCAAAGAGATTGTCTTTTGTCTTCTCCCTCATGTATGTTTTGATGCCTTTGTCAAAAACTTGACTTCTGGAGTTATGTGGGTTTATTTCCGAGTCCTCGATCCCACTGGTCAGTGTCTCTCTCTGTGTGCTGACATCATGCTGGTTTGTTACTAACTTCTGCCGTCTAACTTGAAATCAACCTGGCCGTAGCCCAGCTTTGTTCTGTCTGCCCTGGGTTGCCCTGGCTGGTTCGGGCCCCTCGTAGTTCAGTATTCAACTCAGGATGTTTTCTAATTCTGTGAAGAATTACCATGAGAACCTGTAGGTAGCGTTTGTATTATAGACCTTTTTCTTAATATTGTCAAGCCATGAGCATGGGGGCCTGTCTTTTACCCCCTTAGTTTATTCCTGTTTATTTCTTTTTTTGATGCTATTTTGAATATTATTGTAGCATGTATCTTTTTTTTTTTAGATTTCTTTATTATGTATACAGTGTTCTGCCTGCATGGATGCCTACAGGTCAGAAGAGGGCACCAGATCTCATTACAGATGGTTGTGAGCCACCATGTGGTTGCTGGGAATTGAACTCAGGACCTCTGGAAGAGCAGTCGGTGCTCTTAACCTCTGAGCCATCTCTCCAGCCCCGTAGCATGTATCTTAAAAGTTCTTATTAATAAAAACAAACCTGGGGCCGGGCGGGGGTGGTGGCGCACGCCTTTAATCCCAGCACTCGGGAGGCAGAGCCAGGCGGATCTCTGTGAGTTCGAGGCCAGCCTGGTCTCCAAAAGCGAGTTCCAGGAAAGGCGCAAAGCTACACAGAGAAACCCTGTCTCGAAAAACCAAAAAAAAAAAAAACAAACCTGGGGCCAGTTATTGGGGTGAATACTGGAAGATCAGAGAGACAGAACAAGCCACAGCTAACCTCACCTGGCCAACTTCTCAGCTGATCTTGTTTCCTCAGACTGGAAGCCTCTGTGTCCTCATATCCAAATGGCTCTCAGCTGAACTGTGCTGCTCAAAACCTAAAAGCTTAACCAGCCAAATGCTTCTAGTTTCTGGTCCTCAAGCCTTATAGACCTTTCTGCTTTCTACCATCACTCCCTGGGATTAAAGGCTTGTTTTCTGGGATTAAAGGCGTGAGTCACCATGCTTGGCTGTATCCTTTAACAGATGGATTTATGCCTCTGGAGTGCTAGGATTAAAGGCGTGTGCTACCACTGCCTATCCTAAGTATCTAGTGGCTTTTCTGTTCTCTGACCCCAGATAGGTTTATTAGGGTACACAATATTTTGGGGAACACAATACCACCACATATTGTGAATAGGATTCTATTCCTGCTTCCTTTCTCAATCATAGCAGATAAGGAAGCTTCTGGTTGTGGTGTCTTACTGTTTTGTTGAAAATGTTTATAAGGTCTAAATTTTCTGGTTGAGTATCTAGTGTTTATTTACTTTTAAAATGTTATGGGTATGAGTGTTGTGCCTGCATGTATGGAAGGGTACCACGTTCGTACCTGGTGCCTTCAGAGGCCAAAAGAGAGAGAGCATCGGAGTCCCTGGAATCAGTGACAGATGGTTGTGAGCTGCCATGTGGGTGCTGGGAACTGAACCCAGGGCAGCCTGTGATCCTACCTGCTGAGTTCTCTCTCCAGCCACTTAGTGTCTTTTAAATATAGGATCTCACCGTCTATAAATATGAATAATTTACTTCTTTTCTATGGTCTTTTTTTTTTTTTTTTAATCTTGCCTGAAAAGCATTCTATTGAGTAAAAGTAGGAGGAGCATGTGTTCTTTTGTCTTTCGAGGAAATGCTTTGCTTTTCCTTTACTGGGGAGTTGCTGTTAGGTCTTAGGTCTGTCATGTGGAGCCTGGGTGGTGTTACATTGTGTTCCTGTTGTTGCTGGTTTCTTCGGGATTTCAGGCAGGAGAGGAGGTTGAACTTTGTCAACATCTTTTTCTGTAGCTCTCAAGTTGATGATGTACTTCGGTCTTTGAGTCTATTTGCATACAAGGAACCATCATTATAATCCTGCAGTTGAGCTAACTTGTTCATGGTGTCTGTTTCTTTTAATGTGTTGTTGAATTTCTCTTGCAATCATTTTACTGAGAATTTCTGTATCCATGGTCCTTGGGGATGTTGGTCTGTGATGTGTTCATTATATCTTTAAGTAACTTGGATCTTAAAGGAGCTTTATCATTTTTTTCTAAATCATTTTTCTGTACTTAAGAAAAGTTAGTAAAAGGTAATGTCTTTTGTTTTGGTCTTGGTTTTGGAGACAGGGTTTCTCTGTGTAACAGCCCTAGCTGTCCTGGAACTCACTTTGTAGACCAGGCTGGCCTCGAACTCACAGATGTCCACCTGCCTCTGCCTCCTGAGTGCTGGGATTAAAGGCGTGCGCCACCACGACTGACTGAAAAGCAAATATCTTTAATGAAATTGCTTTAAACTTTAATAATTGGTTTTTAAGCCAGCATGATAAGACACACACCTGGAATCCTGGCACCAGGCTGAGGGTGGAGGATTGCTGGATATGTAAGGCCAGGGTGGAGGATTGCTGGATATGTAAGGCCAGGGTGGAGGATTGCTGGGTATGTAAGGCCAGCGTTCATGGGCAAGAATGTCAGGCCCTGTCTCAAACAACCAACATTTAGAAAGAATTTAGGGCCAGCCTGGCTATAGAATGAGACCCAATGAATGAAGAAAAAGAATGAAGAAAAAAGACAAAGATGTTTTACTACAGGAGTTTGTATTAGCGAGAGTAGGCCCCTCTCCCGATGTTTCGTGAGTGTATTTTTTTTGTACCCATAACTTGAAGTTCCACTTGTGGATAACATGCTTTTGTTTTCACCTCTGCACACGTTTTGGGGGGCATCTGTAGTGTCGAACTCAAGCCATGTGGATGCCGATTGCTTCCTGTGTGTCTTCCTGAGCCACGGTGAAGGCAACCACATTTATGCATATGACGCCAAAATTGAAATTCAGACATTGACTGGCTTGTTCAAAGGAGACAAGTGCCAGAGCCTGGTCGGAAAACCCAAGATATTTATCATTCAGGTAAGACGGACACAGCATTATTTCAATGATAAAATTCAGTTGATTATCACGGTTAAAAAGTCCATTTCTAAAATAAGTTTCTCCAGTAATTGGAAAGGCCCTTTTTGAATCCTGGTCTAATAGAGTTGAATTTTGAGCTGTTAACATTTATTATGAGTGTTTTGATCCAGGAAGTGGTGATACACCTTTAATCCCAGCACTTGGGAGGCAGAGGCAGGCAGATCTTTGTGAGTTCAATGCCAGCCTGGTCTACAGAGCGAGTTCCAGGCCAGTCAGAGCTACATAGTGGGACCCTGTCTAAAGAAACAAAAAGGCAAAAACAGGAGTGATTTGATTAGCATTTGATATGACAGATACTCACCAGTGTGCCTCTGCGTGGCTGGGCTGGGTGTGGAGGACGAGCCACTGGAAGGGAAGACCTGATTGCAGAACAGGAACCATGCAAGGGCCTGGCCTTGGGTCTGCGGGAGCTGGAGTGCTTGCAAGCCAGTGGATGTAGGAATAAGCAGGCTAACCCGGCCCTGCCTCATCCCTTTTACACTTCCCCAAACTCACGCCAAGCTGCCAAATAGTTGTAGACATAAAAAGCAAACGTTTGGAGCATGAGAAATATATATTATTTGGTATTGGAGACTTCAGCATATGAGTTTCAGGGTAGAGCAAGGTTTAGCCTGTAACATCGAAGAGTAGAATTTAGTGCATTGGCAGACCACTTGCCTAGAAACATGAGGCCCTCAAACCAGAAAATAAAAGAATGTAATGCGGCCAGGCAGTGGTGGCACTCGACTTTAATCCCAGCACTCAGGAGGGGAGGCAGGCGGATCTCTGTGAGTTCGAGGCCAGCCTGGTCTGCAGAGCAAGATCCAGGAAAGGCACAAAGCTACACAGAGAAACCCTGTCTCAAAAAACCAAAAAAAAAAAAAAAAAAAAAAAAAAGAATGTAATGCAAGTTCCTGAATCAGAATAGTTATAAATTTAGAACTCACTTTAAAGTGGGAACAGAGGCTGGAGGGAGAGAGAGAGACATACAGACAGTGAGTGTGTCTTCCTGAGCCACGATGGTTCAGTGATGTACAGCACCTCCTGCTGCTCTTGCAGAGCACCTCCTGAGTTCTGGTCCCTGCTCCAGAGGACCCAACACCCTCTTCTGAACCCTGGGGGGCACCTGTACTCACATGTGAACATTCACATAGAAACTTTGACCGGGCGGTGGTGGCGCACGCCTTTAATCCCAGCACTCGGGAGGCAGAGCCAGGCTGATCTCTGTTGAGTTTGAGGCCAGCCTGGTCTACAGAGCGAGATCCAGGACAGGGACCAGAACTACATGGAAAAACCTTGTTTTGAAAAAAAAACCCAACTTTGTTTAAGACAGGGTTTCTCTGTGTAGCCCTAGCTGTCATGGAACTCATTCTGTAGACCAGGCTGGCTTCAAACTCAGAGATCCACCTGCCTGTGCCTTCTGAGTGCTGGAATTGTTGGGATTAAAGGCGAATACCACCACCTTGGATACTTAATTTTCAAACATTAAAAAATACAGTGGGAAGAGAAGATGAAGGAATGCTGTTTCAACTATTGACAAATTATGACCGAAACTAGACAGGGAAAACACCATTTGGAAATCATTACCTGATTGAATAAAAACATTTAGGTAGATAGTTTTTAAAAAGGCGCCTATACCATTCAGCATATCTTGGTGTTTATTGGGGTGGGGAGGTGTTGTAAACATTGTCTAAAAGGAAATATCACCAGGGAGGCAGCTGTGTTAGCTTTCTGTCTCTCAGAGGCTGCTTTCATTGAGTTTGAATTGCTCACGTGGCTTCTGTTACTGAAGGGAGGTGTGCTGGATTACATATTCTCACTGCACACTGAGCATTGGGAACAAGAGAGCAGGCAGAGAAGAGATCACTCCTCTGTTTTGTAGGCCTGTCGGGGCAACCAGCATGACGTGCCAGTGGTTCCTCTGGACGTGGTGGATCATCAGACAGACGTGCCAGACAACGTAACACAGGTGGATGCTGCCTCCGTGTACACGCTGCCTGCCGGGGCAGACTTCCTCATGTGCTACTCTGTTGCGGAAGGTGAGTGAGCGGAACGCCACCGCATGGACGCCCTTAGCTCACTCTGTGTCACCTTTGAATTGGATCAGGTCTTTCACAATTAAATCACCACGTTCTGTTAAAAAGCCACAGACCTAGTCACGTTGAGGAAATCCTTTGGTTGATTAATGAAATGTAAAATGCAACAACATTCCTGTATAACTCTATTATAATACTACAGTAACATCAACAACAGCTGTGTAATCATGGTGGGTCATTTGGTGATAGCGTAGCAGTGCTGTTCTGATCTATTTGTGGAGAGTCTTGTTGAAAAACATTTTGCTGACTTCTTTGTTTTTGAGCTGAATAGTTTTGTTTAATCTCTGGCCTTGTAAAATCATTGGCTCTTCTTTTGTTCTAGTTTTCTTTTTTAGGGAGTGAGGGAAATTCCATTAGTTCTATGTATATAAAACCAGAGAATTAATATGTTTTCCTACATGAGGTTAAGCCATAGATAAAACCGTAACCACATGATGAGCAGGGCCTATTCTTTCCCAAGGACTTTCATTTCTGTAACTGAATTAATCATAAAAGTGTCTTTCAGTCACCTTGAAGCAAAAGGAAATGAAACACCTCCCCTCATCTTCTTTTAGGGTATTACTCTCACCGAGAAACTGTGAATGGCTCTTGGTACATCCAGGATTTGTGTGAGATGCTGGCGAGGTATGGCAGCTCCCTAGAGTTCACGGAGCTGCTCACGCTGGTGAACAGGAAGGTCTCTCAGCGCCGCGTGGACTTCTGCAAAGACCCAAGTGCAATCGGCAAGAAGCAGGTTCCCTGCTTCGCCTCAATGCTGACCAAAAAGCTGCATTTCGGTCCCAAATCTAGTAAGTAGGCCATTGGTCTCGTCTACATGTATTTCACACTCATTCTCCTCTATGCAGCTGTCTGTTGGTTGAAGCGTTTACAGTACATCGATGTAAATGGTTTCAAGGTTTAAGATACCATGGAAAACTGCTGTTTTGTAGTTGTCCATTTTTAATCATGCTAGAGATGATGAAAGGGCTAAAAAATCCTCAGGAAATTACTATGTGTAAAAAATGTCTCCTAGCATTTATTACATTTGCAGTGAACTGCAAGATTACCCAAAATACCAGCCAGTTTGCCTTAAATTTATACAAGTTTATTGTATAATGTTCTTAAAGATTTTTGAAACTCAGAATGAGATTGTTTTCATTTAATAAAATATCTAAAACTTATAGCTTACATAATTTATAGTGACCTATTTTACTTGGTCGTGTATCTGTTTATTGTCTTATTTACCTATAATTAAGGTATTTTGTATATAAATTTAATTCCCATTTTGGAAAAAAAATAAATGAACCTTAAAGAATTATTCTCTGTCACTCTGAGGATTAAATATAGTATCCAGTGACACACAGCCACTGTAGGCACACAAGGAGTGACAGACACTTACCCACTGTAGGCACACACATAGTAATATCTAGGCACACACACAGTGAGACCTAAATAATACAAGCACACGTGCCTGACACCTGCCTAATACAGGCGCCTGTGCGGTGACACCCGGCCATGTCAGTCAAGCGGTGGCACTGAGTCACTAGGCAAAGCACACCTGCAGTGACTCTTAGCCACTGTACACACACATGTAGTTACACTTAGCCACTAGAGGCCCCCACAGTGGTGCCTGGCCACTGTAGGCAGACATGCAGCAACTCCTGGCCACTGTAGGCAGACATGCAGCAACTCCTGGCCACTCTAGGCAGACATGCAGTAACTCCTGGCCACTCTAGGCAGAAATGCAGTAACTCCTGGCCACTGTAGACAGACATGCAGCAACTCCTGGCCACTGTAGGCACACATGCAGCAACTCCTGGCCACTCTAGACAGACATGTAGCAACTCCTGACTGTAGCAGGAATCTTAAAAGTTCTTATTAATAAAATCAAACCTGAAGCCAGGTATTGGGGTGAATGCTGGAAGATCAGGAGACAGAACAAGCCACAGCTAACCTCACCTCGCCAGTTCCTCAGCTGATCCTGTTGCCTCAGACTGGAAGCCTCTGAGTCCTTATCCAAATGAATCTCAGCTGAACTGCTGCTCGGAAGCCTGAATGCTTAACCAGCCAAAAGCTTCTAGTTTCTGGTCTTCACACCTTATATACCTTTCTGCTTTCTGCCCTCACTTCCTGGGAGTAAAGGCTCACTTTCTGGGATTAAAGGCGTGAGTCACCATGCTTGGCTGTATCCTTGAACTCACAGAGATCCAGGTAGATCTCTGCCTCTGGAATGCTAGGATTAAAGGCGTGTGCTACCACTGCCTAACCTCTATGTTTAATAGTGTGGCTGTTCTGTTCTCTGACCCCAGATAAGTTTATTAGCGTGCATAATATTTCGGGGAACACAATACCACCACACCTGGCCACTGTAGGCAGACATGCAGTAACTCCTGGCAACTATAGGCAAAACATCTGACAAAATGTGATTCCACAGTAACTTAAAATGGAAGCTCCTGACATTTCTAGCAGACTCATTAAACATGTAATTAATTTTACCTTTAAGGTTCAATTCTTATTAACGTGACATAACATTTTGAATAATAGTATTTTGTTAATCATCTGCTGGTTGAGGTGGTTTATATTTGGGGCTTTGGGAACAGAAGCACACAAGTGGCTGCTATACAAGCAATGCTTTACTCACAGAAACTAAACCGACGAGCAGGGAGCCGAATGGTACTGACCTAGGCCCTCTGTGTATATGTGACCGTTGTGTGACGTCATCTTCTTGTGAGAATCCTAACAGTGAGAGCAGGGACTGTCTGGACTCTGTTGCCTGCTTTTGGGCCCCATTCCTCCTACCAGATTTCCTCATCCAGCCTTAATAGATGAGGAGGAGCCTAGTCTCACTGCGATTTGAATACACATGGCTGGCTGATATCCATGGGGGTTTCACCTGTATCTGAGGAGAAACAGTGGAAGGGGAGGACAGGAGGGGGTTGGAGGGAAGAATTGGGAAGAGGGAGGGAGGGGGAACTTTGGTTGGGGTGTAAAAACAAACAAAAAGCAATGCCTTAGAGTCTTTCTTCAGCTGCAGTGGAGAGGGTACCACTGTGGCTAGTGGGGCTTTTGTACCTTTGAAAAAATATTACAGTCATACAACTGTTTCATGATAAAAAACAATAACTGGGCATGGTGGCTCATACTTGTAATTACAGCACCCAGGAAACTTAGACAGGAGGATTGCTTAGAGTACGAGGCAGCTTGAGCCACAGTGTGAAACCCTGTCTCAAGAAATGAAGTTCAAGTTAACAAGGTGATTCCAGATGAACCTAAGAACCAAAGTGAGTGAGAGACAGAACGCTGGTCCCTTGACCTCCACGTGGACCAGCCGGGGGAAAAGTTTGGGTACCAGCAGCTTCGCCAGGGCACACAGGCCATTTGAAACATCAGTCCACACAGATCCACAAACCAGGCATCAAGTTTATTAACCAAACAATGTCTGAAACCATCAAATGGAAATGAACAGGACCTTAAAAATGTCCAATTGGTAAGTTACAAAATTGGCGCAATAGCCCTGGGCTGTTTAAAAACATAAGACTAAGTCTTCTTGCGGAGTTCCTCTCCTGGCATTCGGAAATGGAGGTAGTGGCGCACGTTCTCCAGGGATTCTGTAGCCTGTGGTGGGGAGGAAAAAAATAAATAACAGCTTGAAATCAGAGGAAATAAGAAATACCAGCATTGCCCTTTGAGAGGAATTATAAAATTTAACCTCTCCTTGAGACTAGAAAACATTTAAATTACTGAGGTAAATGCCTTGTTTGAATCCCTTTTTGATGTTTTTTTTGTTTGTTTGGTGAGGTACTTGCTTTTTTGAGACAGGGTCTCACTGTGTACCTCTGGCTGTCCAGAAACTGGCTATGTAGATCAGGTTGGCCTCGACTTGTAAAGCCTCTCCAGTGCTGGGATACATCAAAGGTGTACGCTACTATGCCCAGCCTTAAATCCTTTTTTAAAAGATGAGTTTATGGCTTCATTTGACCTCATCATGGTGCCCTGAAAAGAAACTGCCGGTAATCCTTCTCATCGTGGGTTTTGCTTTGTTTTGTTTTCAGTTAATATTCTGTTTTGTTTTGTTTTTGTTCTTCGAGACAGGGTTTCTTTGTATAGTCCTGGCTGTCCTGGATCTCGCTCTGTAGACCAGGCTGGGCTCAAACTCACAGAGATCTCCTGCCTCTGCCTCCCGAGTGTTGTGATTAAAGGCGTGTTTCACCATCACCAGGCGAGTTCTGTGGTGGTATTTTACTTGTACTGAAATGTGATTTTAATTGTATGTTAATAAATAAAGTTGTCTGGGGGTCAGAGCTATTAGAGCCATAGCAAGTACGTGGCGGTGGTGGCGCACGCCTTTAAGGACCTGGAGGGCGGTACATACAGGCAGTGACGAGGCAGTCACATGTTTGGGTTTACAACCAATGAGAAGGCAGAACAGCTAGAGTATATAAAGACATACACACACAGGAAGTAGGTCCTTTTCGGAGAGCTCTCTTGGCTGAAGAGGATCCCTGAATCAGGAAGGGTGAGGCTCTTAGCTCTGACCTCTTGGCTTTCTTCTCTGAATCGGCTCTGTGTTTCTTATTTAATAAGACCGTTGGTTACATCTACAGAGTTCATATTCTTTTTAAAAATAATTAAAAAAAAAAGATCCATCCCAATCTTTTGCTAAACAATACATGAAAATTTCAGCCCAACATTTACTAACCTGTGAAAAATGAGCCAACATTTCCCTGTCTCCCAAACAAAGCCAGCTCGGAGATGTGCTTGCTATAAAATACCTCAGCCAGGTCCTCCTTTAACTTGTTGTATAGTTCCACATCAAAGCGCTGTCCTTGAGACTTCCTGTGGAAGAACTGAAGGAATTGTCTGCTCCGCACAGATGCGTAAGTGTAGTTCTGAAAGAGAGGAGACGGAGATACTAACTCCGCAGCGCCAAGGCAAAGTGGGGAGAAGGAAGGAGTGTTTGCAGAGCGAACAGCCGCAGAGGTAGGGCATGCAGCCGGAGTCGGGAGTAGCTGCTCCTCTTACGAGCAGGCAAACCGGGAAGAGAAAACACATTGCCGAAGAAGAAAAGCGGAAAAGTTTGGCAAAGCAACCTTGCCAAAAGCTAGTTACTGGATACCACTAACTTTTGTAGTCCAAGTTCAATGTCATTGTTTAACGAGGACATGGAGAACAGAAATGCAGCATTTTTCCCAATGGAGGAGTTCATGTGTTTACACTGATTCGTCTGTAGGAATTGAAATTTTTGTTGTGATAAAGCCTCCATCCAACCTTGTGGGGGAAAAAAATTTACTGGCTTCAGAAAACTTGGAACATGAAAGGGTTTTATTGGTTGCTGCTGGTGCCCGCTAGTTTCATGTCGACTTGACGGAAGCTACAGCCATCTGGGAGGAGGGAGCCTCAGCTGAGAAGCCAGATCAGGCGGTAGGCAAGCCTGTCGGGTATTTCCTTAATCAGTGATACGGGAGGCCCAGGCTCAGTTGTGGGCAGTGCCACCCCTGGGCTGGTTGTCCGAGGTGCTATAAGAAAACGGGCTGAGCAAGCCACGAGCGGCACCCCTCCATGGTCTCTGCGCCAGCTCCTGCCTCCAGGTTCCTGCCCAGTCTGAGTTCCTGCCGTGGTTTCCCCTCAGTGGACCGGGATTCAGGATAGGTAAGCCAAATAAACCCTTTCCTCCCCAAGGTACTTTTGGTCATGGTGCTTTATCAGAGCGGTAGACAATTGAGTGACTTGGATGAGGAATTCTTTAGACAAATGTTCTGACTTCCCTGACTACTCACCTGCCGAGTTATGATGAAGTATGCAAAAAAGACCATGGAGTTTTGCAAACGTCAGGAAGAACGTCACTGGTTCCATGATGTCCCAGGAGTACACCCACCAAGTAAGCCAGGCCAGTGCGCCTCCCTGCACGGAGAGCAGAGCTAAGCCCGCCCATAGGAGTCCGCTGGTCTTGGCTTCTGACTGAGCTTCTATTCTAGCCTTGACCTGGAGGAGGAAGGGGGAAACCATTCATTCAGTTTACAAGTTTAACAGCTCAAGGGGCAAACAAAGGCAACAGGAAACATTTGAAGCCGTGCACACTTTGCATTGCTTTGGATAGGTCAGGTATGTGGAGTAATGAGATTTAGAGAGTGTGTATTATCGGCTCATTTCTAAACCAGTTCATTCATCTATTTTGTTTTTCATCGTAAAGATAATGCCTACTCAAAGAAAACAGACAGACTAGCTGAGGGTAGTGTCACACTCTTTAATCCCCGCACTCAGGAGGGCAGAGGCAGGAAGATCTCTGAGTTAAAGCTCAACCGGCGGCGGGGGGGGGGG